GCCTTTCCCAAGGACACAACGTCGGGTCCCTGACGGGATTCGAACCCACGACCTTACGGTTGCGAGTCCGAGAGCCTAACCACTAGGCCACCGACGCCACTGTACTCCATACTATTAGAGTCAACAGTCCTCTTGTACAGCAGAAATATTTACAAGTAAAAAGAGAGTCACTCAAATCTAAAACAGGCTTGTTAATCAAGTATCTAGCCTTCTTTGTTAAAGGGATCGTAACTTTAATGAGAAGAATGTGGTTTTCATGAGAAGAATGCAGTTTGGAGTTGCTGAAAAATTCGATTTCGCAGATGATTAAATTTGTTCATTTTTAAAAAATTCTGTGTTATATGAAGAATGTATATACTACTCATTCCAGCGTCTTTCTTTAAAGACACACATCTTGGATATTGATCTTGCCTACTTTTGGACTGGATGAATTGTTGATAATATGAGTACTATTAAGTTAATTGTTGTCCAATTCAAACCAGCAAGCTGTTTCTTCGCCATATTGATTTAAAAGGAGTTTGGAAGTCTCATTTTCCCTACAGCAGCAACAGTAAGAGAAATAAATTTCTGCTTAAAGTTCCAGAAGAATTGACGCTTTTGAAATCATTTTTTTGGGGGGGTGTATAAACGCCCTTTGCTATAGATGGGTCGTTCATACCATTGTTATGCCGCTATATATAATCATATACTTAGTATACAATATAATATATAAATCAGGCGCGGTTCCTCCATAGAGCACGGTCGGGCAGTGCCGCCCAAAATGTTTTAATGTTTTATTACAAAAAGCACCCAAAAACATGAAATAAAAGAAGTCAGAAACAAACACTAGCCAAATATAATATCCAAACAAGGTCCTCGCTGGCGCTGTAGCTGTCATTTCTGTGTCAAAAGCGCCGTAAAACATCTACTATGTCATGCCAAAGTCCACGTGCCATAAGTAACTAAACGTAATAGAATATTCAACAGTGGCTATCTGATCTATAAAAATCGCTCTTTGGGATAACCCAAGCGATGACGACACTCGTAGCGAGTTTGACGGTACATTAATATTAAGGGCGGGGGGGGGGGCTAAACCCCCAAAGTCAAAATTCGGCTCAAAATTATGGATTTTGAGTAGTAGGCATTTTTAGCTTTCTCAGCCTCTCCTACAACTATTTCATCACATAAGAACCCCCAAAAACTGTATCTTTTCCCATACCGGGCATGTTTGTCACCGCCATTTCCTCATAAAGTCAGTATTATATTTTTCTTTTTCGGCCGTTTTCTCAAAACGCGACTTTTCTCTATACTTTATTGAATAACTCCACCATTTTTCATCCAATCTTCATGAAATTTTCACAGAATGAAGAGAAGATGTAATACTAAAAATGTATCTGTTGAATTTTGTATATATGAAATAGATTTTTGTTGGTGGTGTCTGGAGTGTGTATTTTTACGGATTTTTTTAAAACTTGAATGCTACCTCAGGAAAAAATTCATTAAAAATGTTCTAATTCGTTTAGCAAAAAAACAACAAACACATATTTAGATCTAATGTTTGTAAACACGTATGCGAAAAATCATTCAATTTCCATGAGCGATAAGTGCGGTATTCATTACGTAAGACATGTCAACAAAATCCAATATGGCCGCAGTATCCATGGAAACCAAACTTTTTCTCAAATTTGATTGTGGATTTAAATACTCCTTACTATGCTTGTTATATGCGCGAAATTTGGCAAAATTCGGTCCAGTAATAAGCGACATAGCCTTCAGGTGTGCCCCCCCCCCCCAACCCCTTAACAAGACGGCACATCTCAAATGTGCACCCACGAAACATAGCCCACAGTAGGTACTCTAAAAATAAACGCGATAGCCTGTACGCTATTCAATGCCAAAATTATGTGATCCCCGGAGCAATCCAGCAGAGTGCTCAAGTGAATTGTGATTGGTTCATTGTTTGTCTTGCCACTATTTTAAGCGACATTGTGACCGTGAACCTGAAGGAGGTGAACGTGACATACTTAAGTCATCGCCCTGTGAGTTGTGCCTTTGAATGGTTTTGTAGTGGAGTGGTAAAAGTTATTACTAGAGTGTTCAGTTCCGATGCAGGATAAAGAAATTGATGTTAAGCTAACAAACATAACTAGTTCTAGAAATCAAAGTGACCAGTAAAAAGAATGAAAATAAAAGCATAAGGTCCTTCACCAACCCAAAGATCCCACCATCCCATTTACTATGCCCTTGACTATCTTCAACCTGCTGTTGTTTAATTGTGCACGTCATGTTTTTAGCCCCACGAGCCGCCCCTGATATATATATATATATA